AAAAAAAAAAAAATCAAAACAAACAACATCTAAAAACCTTGTATCTAACACACTATAGATCCGAAACAAAAATCCTCAATAGCTAATACAACACAGACCCTTAGATCTAACAAAACTCATCACAAATCTAACAAAAAGGATCACAGATCTAACAAAGTCATAAAAAAGAACACAAAAATCATAGATCTTACCTTATTGGACAAAGAAAAAAAGGTGGGCCACTGATTTTGAAATTAACTTTATAGGGGGGGCGGGTTTATATGAGTATTTTCGTATACGTCCACCGTCCAATACATATGATCCATCCCTAGTCTAAACGTGACGGGTTTGAACGAATACCCATTTTTTTACGGTCCACTGTCATCCCTAAGTATAATGGACTAACGAGTCCCAGTTGACTTTATTATGGATAATTTTTAAAAATAAAATAAATATATGTTGGAAATTATCACACTCCAAATGCAACCCGTTTATATGATAGATCTTATTATACAATTAAGGATAATTTTGTGCCTGAAGATACGGTGCAACGTAAATGAGAAGTGATAGATTTTGAGAAAAATTCAATATGAATAGTTTTGAAATCGATGTTGATGATCATTTGATAAGTTTATTTGGAACTGTCAAATAAACTTATTAAATCTTGACTTATTTTATATTATGAATATAACAATCAAATACATTAATTAGAAGTTCCACCACCTAGATTTGTCAACCCTGTAAGATGTGGCAGCAATGTGCAGAATTTTAACAGTTTATTTCAAAAAAATATTTTTTTTATATTTAATTTTTTATTAATTTATATATAATAAATTGTGTACTATCGATTTCACATTATATATAAATTATTTATAATCGATATATAAAATAATTTATACACAATTTATTTATTAATTATATGGTTCTCGAATGACTTCAGAACATCACAACCTTTACTTTAGAATCCTATTTACGTCGCGTTAAGTGGTCGTATCTGACACCCTACCACCAGCAACATCTGGAAAAAGAAATAATCCAATCCAACGGCTGCCACCGTCCGATTTGCACATGTACGGTTGACCCAATCCTGTCCCTTATTTAGTCCTTCTCCACAGATTTCCCAATTTTCGCTCTCTTCGAACTACAAATGCTCTCTGCTAACATCGTTTTTCCCCTTGAAATCCCTAATCCAAAGGTCACTCTGGATCATCTCTAAGGTACTTCGAATGCTCAATCTCAGTCACACCCTTAATTCAGACATCTAGGGTTTGTTCTTTTCTCTCTTTTTTCTTGCTGTTCTTTTCTCTCTTCTTCTTTCTGATATTTTCCTTGTTTTTCGAAATATTCGTAGATTTTCATAAAATTTCTCTATTTGTCGAATCTTTTCTCTCACTTTATTCTAGTTTCTGCTAATCCTATTCTTTTTTTTTTGACTTTTCCTGGCTATTTAATTTTTTTTTTGTCATCAGCAATCTAGGGTTTGGCTAATTGGTTGCTTTTCGTTCTTAATAGGGTGTGATTGGGTTGGGTTTCTAGTTAGACAGACTTTATTGAGTTGGTTTTTTATTACTAATTTCTTCAATTTGGGTATTCTTAATTAATTGAACTTAATAGTGTTCGTTTCAAGATTTGTAGCAGTTTCTATCTTGGAATTTTTTCACTAGAGGGTCTTAATCTAGGATTAGGTTAATTTTTTTTTTATGGCATTTGAATGCCAGGAAAACATAGCGGTTGGTTTGACAAAGAATCCGGTGAATACTGTACATAATTCTTGCAAAGAAGAAGTTGAGTTGAATCAGTTTAATTCCCCAAATACCCAAAAATATTTGACTTTTGATTCAAACACCGATACTAGGGTGTCTGGAGAACCAAAGACCATACTAGAAATTCATCCCAAAAGTGGTATTTCTGCTTCTTGTAGCGCAAAATCATTGCCATTGAATGAGGTTTTGTCTAATTATCGCCACACAATCACTGACCTTCCTCCGGCATTGATATCAGAGATACTTAATTGCCTTGACCCTAAGGAGCTTGGTGTCGTTTCCTGTGTGTCTGCATCTCTTTATAGGCTTGCTTCTGAACACCATGTTTGGAAGGAGTTTTATTGCGACAGATGGGGACATCCAATAGCCCCAGCACCTCAGGGGACGGAGTATTCGGATGAGAAGTCATGGAAGGAACTCTTTGTAGAGAGGGAGTTTCGGAGCAAAATCTTTATGGGCCGCTATGGTATTGATGTTCTTTATGGTCACACTGAAGCTGTTAGGACTGTTTTTCTTCTGTCTGCTAAGAAACTCGTATTTACCTCAGGGTATGATCAAATTGTTAGGATGTGGGAGATGGAAGAAGGGTTGTCAATTGCATCCTCTCGTCCCCTTGGTTGCACTATTCGTGCAGTTGCAGCAGATACCAGGCTCTTGGTAGCTGGGGGTACTGATGGATTTATACATGGTTGGAGGGCAGAGGAAGGGCATCCTTATTTGTTTGATCTTAGGGGTCCCCAGAACCAGAACAAAGAGTTCCGGCTTTGGGAACATGATGGGCCTATAACATGTCTTGCTTTGGACCTTACTAGAATTTACAGTGGTTCATGGGACATGACTGTGCGTGTTTGGGACCGTTCTTCATTGAAGTGCTTGAAAATCTTGATGCATAATGACTGGGTTTGGAGCCTTGCCCCTCATGATACTACAGTGGCAAGCACATCAGGATCAGATGTACATGTGTGGGACACTAATAGTGGGACTCAGATAGCCGTAATCAGTAATGCGCATGTGGGCAACACTAACTCTTTGGCTCGGAGCCACACTGGGAATCTCTTATTCACTGGGGGAGATGATGGGGCAGTACACATGTTTGAGATCACCAATCGTGCTGTGGGTCATGTTCGGCAGGTTGCAACATGGATTCCTCATTCCGGTCCTGTTTATTCTCTTGCATTTGAGTTCCCCTGGCTTGTTTCAGCTTCCAGTGATGGAAGGCTTTCACTTATTGATGTGAGAAAGCTGCTGAAGAAAAGTGGGTATTGTTCAATGGTAAAACCTTCGAGGGTTATCAACACAGACCAGAGGGATGTGGAGCCTCCACAGAGAATGCTACATGGGTTTGGGTGCAATTTATTTGCGGTGGATATTGGTTCTGATCGCATTGTATGTGCAGGCGAAGAAGGTGTTGTTAGAATTTGGAACTTCTCACAAGCTTTGGAGATAGAGCGAAGGGTGCGTGCTTTAAGAGGTATACGGTTAGAGAACAGGATGAGGAGGCGGAAGCTTCAAACAGAAATGACCAGCAAAGGTGGCCGAACTGATCAGTGTTCTGTTGCCGCAAAGAAGAATCAATTGAATGGTGATAGGAATGGCTGGCACCACAAGCGTGGGGTGAGTGGGAAGCTGAAGGCTTAGCTGTTGATCAGAACCTCCTGCTGTTTATGCATGCTATCGCTCTAGTACTCTTTGGCTGATCATGTAAGATATAAATAAATAATTTGTCGTTTAAACAATATAAATTTAGACAACTGTTACTTTCATTAATTTTCGGATCAGCAAGTTGTCTTGTGTTGGTTGCTCCCTGATGTATTTGTTTTACATTGTTGTGTCTGTGTTACTGCGTGACTGATCAGGGCATCTCATACTAAATATGAGTAGCAGGTCAATGTGGACTCAGAATGCTTCCATGAAATACCTGAGTTTAGTGGTCTACCTTTTTATATTTTGAGTTCTGTTTTGATTGAAAGTCCTTGTTATGACATTCTTTTTCTACAGGGAAAGCTATATTAATGTAATCGTTATAGTTGTGCTGGATTACTAATTAAATGCCAGTAGTAGTAGGTGATCTTGTGTGGCATGGTAATGGGGGCGTAGACAGGCATTGAATTACTCTTCTGATGCAGAACCTTTTTGCTTGTAACGCATCTGACAAATTGCATGTTTGTAAAAGCATTTTTTATTCTGTTTTTTGGTAACTTTTTTATAGGTTTGAACCTTTGAGATGAATTTTGAAAATGAGAAAATGATGTGGGGTGTGCTAGCTCAGAGAACTTAGCGGTTTGGGTTTTTGATCTAGCATATGGTTGTAGGTTGTCTTGCTAAGATTTACGAATCGAGCATTACTATGCTTATCAAATCATTTACCGAATTTAGAATACCAAACCGAGTGATTAGATCAGTGGGTTTTACTAAGTTCCATTAAAAATTTAATGCATAGGATTTTGCCACATCATTTGATATACAATATTTGGCAAATAAATTTGAGGAGCACAGATTTATCCTTAGGAACCACAGAATTCAGATAAAGTCAATGATGGACAAAATAATGTTGTAATGAATGGCCAGAGATTCTCTCAACAAGAAGGGTTTCGTGTGAGGTTGTAGATGGGGATATAACCTCTGAAGCACTTACTTATAGTTATAGTTGACCTTCTCTTGACCCGGAACTCTCGACCTTCTCTTGACCTGGAACTCTTGATTAGGGATGTAACTTGGGTGGGCTAATTCGAATTCAACCTGAGCTCAATCTGAAAAAACAGGACTTGGGTTAAAATTTTTAATACTTAGGTTAGACCTGCGCAAAAAAATTTCAAATCCGAATTAAATTTGGGCAAGCTTCGGATTAAGGTATCGGGTTGTCAGGTTCAACTCGAATATTAAAATCGGGTTGAACTTGAATATATATAAATATATTTAACTACGGTTAATATTTATCTTCACTCTTAAAAGTTCAAACTTTCACTTTATTTCAAGTCTTCACTTCTGCGCCTCTATCACTCTCAGATATCTCTCTTACTCATCACTCCTTCTCTCTTCATCTGTATCTCGCCCTTCATCTCAGATCACATGAAAAAATTAGATTTACATTTAAAAAAATTAAATCTACACTTCAAAAAATCAACCCGAATTAAGTAACTCAAGTTCAACCCAATTTTTAACTCGAAATCAGTCTGAATTAAGTAATTCGAATTCAACTTGAGTTCGCTTGAATTAAACTCAGATAATACTCGAGTTGAGGTAAGGTTAAGATTAATGTTAGGTTTAGGGTTAAAAATTATATACGTAGAGTTAGATAATGTTAAAATTGACCTCTCAACCCACCCAAGTTGCACGCTACTCTGGATTGCTCTTCTTATCAACATATCTAATTTACGAGAAATGGAAGCTAGAATGCATTCTTTTCCAAAGAGTCCGGAGAAGGTAAAAGTAAACAATGCAATGGTGGTAGCTGAATTGAAAACTTATTTTTGTATTTATCAGGAGTGTTTGTTTATAAACCGTGTGGAAAATTTTCTAATTGAGGGAGTTTGTTGGGCCGAGGTACGGTACCATCAGTCGAAGAGTTTTCTCCACATTTATGTAGCTACACGCCTCATTAGTACTTTCTGGTCTCTGTATGTATGTGTCTGTATGTGGGTGCACGCGTATGTGAGTGGATAGTTATAACCATATCTGCAGAATTGTGTAGGTCTCGACTATGGTTTGGCATATCAGCTTACGCCCCTCCAATCCCCGCCCGGGAAAAAAAAAAAGATAAAAGAAAAGAAACCACCCAGACCTAACCTACCTCCCCCCCCCTCCCACGGGCCAGGAAGGGGGAAAGCAGAGGCAGATTGACCCTGCTTGTTGCAGTTGCCTAATAAGTTTTAACTCTTAGTTATGAACTTGGAAACAGTTGAAAGAAGACTTAGTAAGCTAAGCACATAATTCATGTGGTTAGTTAGTAGTTAGGGTGGTTTAGTAATGGAATTGTATTCGTTCTGCCCCCTGTTGTGCATGACCTGTGTTTGCTGGAGAGAATGGACTTTGACTATGGCTCTGGTGTATCCTCTTAGGCAAGAGTTAGGTAGTCCCGTCTATCATATGCATGGTCAACCAACTTGTTTTCTTTATGAATAAACCAAACCCCTAACTAGGAAAAATATTTACATCGTTAACATTTGACAGTAACAATTATTCCATTAATGCAATTTTAGAAGTGTTTTTTCATAAAAGATATAAAATATTTTGAAAAAGATGGAAAAAAAATCCAAATAATTTGGCTTTGCCAAAGACAAGACTTTTTTCCTTTTTTTTTCCGAGCACTATTATAGGTGAGGAGATGATAAAATTTGAACTCGCGATCTTAGAATTTAACAACGGAGATGACAAAATGACGAGATTTGAACTCACGACCTTAGGGTTTAATGGCGGAGATGACAAGATGATGAGGTTTGAACTCGCAATATTAGAATTTAAAAGCGGAGATGACGAGATTTGAACTCGCAATCTTAATCTCGCTTGCACTTGTGGGCTCACATGGCCTCTACAGAGGAGTAAAAAGATGTCACTCTTAGAAAAAAGGTTGGAACTTAATAAAGACAATAGCATTGTTGCATTCATCGTGTAAACATTAAAAACATCTCAAATTCTAAATTAAATTTTGAGTATAAATATATTAAAAATAAATTAAATTTTTTTATTTAAATTCATACTAAAAAAATTAATTTTTTATTTAAATTAAGGGATATTTATCTTTTTTTTAAAAATTAATGATGATATTTCATCTTACTTCAAATTGAATCATTTATATCAAAATAATATTTTTATTCAAATTTGAGTCAGTTGGAGGGGACATTCACTGTGTGCGAGAGAGAGAGAGAGAGAGTCGGTATATGTAGACATTCTCTAGTAAATAGCAATCCGGTCACACAAAGAAAGAAATAAAAAATCGAGAAAGGAATAAAGGAAGCAAGAGTATACCCCCTGAACTATAAAGCTCGTCTATAGAATTTCAATCTACGAACTTCTTGACGCACACAGAGGCAACCAAAGAAGGAGAAGGAGAAGAAGAAACAAGTATTTCAAAAGAGGAACAACAAAAACAATGGCGACCAAAGGGTTGGTCCTTTTTGTTCAAACTCTTTGGGTGGCTTCGATGATGATGATGATGATAAATGCGTCATTTGGGCATGTTGATGTTGGTGCTGTGGAACTCTCACATAGTTCATTATCGCTATCATCATCATCATCATCGTCAATCATGGCAATGTTTGTTTTGGGAGATTCCTCTGTTGATTGCGGAGACAATACTCTGCTCTACCCTCTATTCCGCCATAACTTCTCTCTACATCCATGTAATGGTTCTGATACCACTCTTCTTCCTCAGCTTCTTGGTACCTCTCCCTCTCTCTCTCTCAAGATTTATTGAAAGAAATTTCTTGATTGATTTCTTGGTTTCGTTCAATCTCTTAAGTTGGTCTTGAAATTTATGTTTAGGAAGTTGGTTGGTTTTTTTGTTTCCATATTTGGTGTGGGTGGAGTTGGGCTACTTGGAACTGCACATTATTAGCCTGAAATTGAATCTCTTAATGACCATTCTCTGCTGAACCCATCTCTTGATTTCAGTTTTGAACCCAAAAGATGACTTATTTTCCCCTCTCTCTCTCTCTCTCTCTCTCTCTCATGGACATTTGTTGGTCTAGCCAAATTGTGCGTGGCCATATTTGCTCTCTATGGACTTCCGACAGCATGTCCCAAGAAAACAATCGTCCAATATAGTGTCTATGCAATAGTAAAGGCTTTAGCTTGTTCATTTGGATAAAAAATATGTAAAACGGTGAAGGTTTTTCCTTTTGTTCTTTTGGACCAAAGAAAGTGTAAAATATATGATTTACGTGCCAGTTTTTTGACAGCATATATAGTTTCTATTACATCTAATCTAATTGAAGTCATTCTCCAAAGCCTGGTGACCTCCAGTCTTCCCTTCATTCCGTATGCTACGTCTTGGATTCGAATCTCGGTTGACTGGGAAAAAATGGAAAAATTGTAGCCAATCTTACCTATGAAGCTAAAAGATTCCGATCTTCTCAAATTCAGATTTTGCCAATTTGGTTCAAGTGTATTCTATCAACTTGGTCTCACTAGATGTCAGGTGGATTCATCAAAACAGAATTCCATGAACCGAGACCACCAATGAGACTCAATTGAAATCGTTGGTCAAAGGTTGAAGTTGATCAAATTTGACAAAAATGTTGAACTGAGGATTATTTTTTTCTGTTTAACTAAAGATGATATATTACAGTGACAACAATGAAAATATTTTTGGGTTGATGCAGCTGAAAAGATGAGCTTGCCATATGCCACTCCATTCTACAGTCAGAATGGAACAATCCAAGTGCTACTGCAAGGCATTAACTTTGGTTCAGCATTAGCTACAATCATAAACCCCAAAAGGCAAAGCCACCAGTCCCTTAACCAACAGCTCCGCCAGGCGTTTGAGACAGTTCAGCTATTAGAGCTTCTGCTTGGACAAGATAGTGCCAACCATTTCATCCAGTCTTCTCTTTTCTACCTCTCTTTTGGTAAAGATGACTACATAAGGCACTTCCTTGATAATTCATCTGGCATAAGTCTCAAGTACAATGGTCAATCCTTTGCTAAGATTTTAGTTAACCAGATGGGAAATGCTATACGGGACCTCTATGACGTGAATGTGAGGAAGATTGTGTGCTTGGGAATATTGCCTTTGGGATGTGCACCGCGTATACTGTGGGAGAGGCATAATGACACGATTGGAGCTGGTAACAGGGGTTGTGAGGATGAGATCAACAAGCTAGTTTTGCAGTACAACACAATGCTAGAAGAGCAGATTATTGATCTTAATGCAGAGTTGTCTGGTGCACATATAATTTTCTGTGATGTATACCGGGGCATCATGGAAATCATCACTAACCCTGAAGTCTATGGTAGGACCCTTTCACTACTCTCTCGCTGATTATTTCGAAGAAACACATTTATCTCTCTGAGGGTTGTGAATTTAATGTCTATATGACTTGCTTTGCTTGGATATCTTGTACTCATTCTGGAACTGATGAAATCCATCTTTTACTTTTATTTAAAAACTTGTTTGATTTTATTTTGATGTGTTAATCAATGTCATTAGCAACAATTTAACAAAAGATCGAAATTATCAATGATTTATTAATCTGGCTCTAACGGGTACTATTTTTATTTTTATTTTTTTTTCTATTGATTTATCTGTCTGAATCTTGCTCTACTGCACCAACTTGTATTCCATGTCAAATTGATCATTGACCTTATGTGTCCATTGTCGCAAATATGCAGGATTTGAGGATGTGAGGAATGCCTGTTGTGGTCTTGGTACATATGGGGGAGAGAGTGGGTGCCTCTCCACAGACATGGCCTGCGACCAAGCTTCAACTCATCTCTGGTGGGATTTATACAACCCTTCCCAAGCTGTCAACTCCTTGCTAGCCGACTCGGCCTGGTCTGGCCAACGAATACCCGCCATTTGCCGCCCTTTTACTGTCCAAAAACTGGTATCTTATAAATGATATGCATCCATTACACTGCCACATGGTACCTGCTAAACATTTGGATGATTGTATGCAATTCCATTACGAGTTGGATGTGTGATTAGGATCGTTCTTAATTAAAGAAACTTTATATTTTACATAAAATTGCTCCAACTTAATAAACTTCCAATGGTATTAAAACATTATTCACTAACTTGTGACTAAGGATAGTCTCTTTACAATGAAAAATACTTTTTCAATATCATACTTATACTTTTCAATTAATAAAAATACACCATATGCATAATTTTTTTAATTAATAGTTAAAAATTATTTAATTTAAAATTAATAATTGTATCGACATTAAGTATGACATTCCAAGTCTAAAATACTAATAAATAAAAATGTAGCATCCCAAGACAAAGGTAGTAATAAATGTGGGTATGTTTAAACAGGTTGCAGGGACCACCACGCTGCTACTGCTAGTAAAAAGAAAACAACAATCGTGACCATTAAAATATTTAAAATAATGTCAGACAAAGATATAATTTTAACAGATGAGATAGCTGCCAAGTGCCTTCCTGTTTATTTTAATTTTATAATATAAAATATTACAAATTTTAATAAATTTACTTGACAGTCTCCCATAAACATCAAAAAAAAATTTAAAATTATTTGTATTAAAATTTTATTATTTTTTACTTACATTATACCGTATATTTATACACGAATTACTCCCAATAATAAAACTTCTGCCATCTTGTACCATGTGACTACAAAACCATCTCTTCTCTCCGTCCAAAACCCTAATAATCTCTCTCTCAATTGGCCATCAAAAAATGGCCACCCACTCCCACCCACTTCACTCTATCTCTCTCACCCTCAGAACCCCAAGACTCCTCCGATCAAAACCCACCACGCTCCTCACTATCACCTGCAAATCCAACCAACCCCTCAACCGTAAGCTCCGAGCTGCCGTGATCGGTGGCGGCCCCGCCGGCTCCTCTGCCGCGGAAGCGCTCGCCTCCGGCGGCGTCGAAACGTTCCTCTTTGAACGCTGCCCGGAAGCCGCCAAGCCATGCGGTGGGGCCATCCCCCTCTGCATGATCGACGAGTTCTCGATCCCAGTCGGCCTCATAGATCGCAAAGTGACTCAAATGAAAATCATCTCACCCTCCAATCTCACTGTAGATTTCGGCAAAACCCTTAAACCCCATGAGTTCATCTCCATGCTTCGCCGCGAAGTTCTCGACTCCTTCCTCCGCCGCCGTGCCGAGTCCAGTGGCGCCACCCTCCTCAAAGCTCTCGTCACCAACCTCGAGGTACCCACTTCGTCAAACGCACCATACACCATTCACTATACGATGAACAACTCTAAACAAACCCTAGCTGTCGATATTATCGTCGGTGCCGACGGAGCTAACAGCCGAGTCGCCAAGTCCATTAACGCCGGCGACTATGCTTGTGCCATTGCCTTCCAAGAAAGAATCCAGTTGCCGGATGAAAAAATGGAGTATTATCAAAACCTCGCCGAGATGTACGTCGGAAATGACGTTTCACCGGACTTTTATGCATGGGTTTTCCCAAAATGTGACCACGTGGCTGTGGGGACTGGGACAGTATGCTCGAAACAAAATATTAAAATGTTTCAACGTGGTATCCGAGCTCGAGTTAAACCAAAGATCGAGGGTGGGAGAGTAATTAAAGTGGAGGCCCACCCGATCCCTGAGCACCCGCGTCCAATTAGGGTGAGGGATCGGGTGGCCCTAGTGGGGGATGCAGCGGGGTATGTGACCAAATGTTCCGGGGAGGGGATATATTTTGCAGCGAAGAGTGGTCGAATGTGTGGTGAGGCGATAGTGAGGGCGTCGGAGGGAGGGGAGAGAATGATCGGCGAGGATGATTTGAAGAGAGAGTATTTGAGGGAGTGGGATAAGAAGTATATTACAACATTTAGGTTTTTGGACTTGTTGCAAAGGGTGTTTTATGGTAGTAATGCTGGTAGGGAGGCATTGGTTGAGTTGTGTGGGGATGAGTATGTGCAAAGAATGACATTTGAGAGCTATTTGTATAAGAAATTGGCTGATGGGAATAGGTGGGAGGATGCTAAAATGTTGGTGAATACAATTGGGAGTTTGATTAGGTGTAAGCTAGTGGGGAGAGAGATGGAAGTCTTTGATCAAAGAGTTCTCGCACAATTATTGTGATGTGCGGAGCAATCAGTTTGTGCAAATAATTAGGTTTTATCCCCCTATGTCTCTCTCTGCTAATCCGTTTCAATTAGGACCATACTTGGTAGTGAACTATTGTAATGGAGAGTTTTGTCTATTTGTTTGAGACTGCTTTCAAACCACTTATATGGAGCAGTCTCGTAGAATCGTTCTGTTATTGACTATTGAGTGCACAAAACTTTTATCAATGCGGTACTTGAGAAGATCGGATGTTTGTTGTTTTATCCCGTTACAGAGAAATTATTTCTGTAATTCGAACCCTCGATATCATAATGTATCACGCCAATGCCAAGGCCAACCCTCTTGTCATCCATTATAAATGCAGGATACAAATGGGCGTCCATCTTCCTTTCAGCTCCCAACCCATATTTTGATTGTTTCTCACTTCAAATGGTTAAAGCGGTCCATTCCTTGCTCTGGCATATGCCCAATTGAATCTTGCCTTCATAATCATCCTTTTGACCGATGCCATGGCTCAAGTTGCCTTCATAATCTGGTATGATTGTTCACATTCATGAATTTGCGTTGTAGGCACGAGCACATCCAGGTGTTTATTACGTTTTGTAGCTACTAAGACCAAAGAAAATGTATTTAGGATGGTTGTTAGGCCATTTTCAGTCTTAACTTAAATTGAATCAACATTTGAATAAAAAACTTGATTTAAAAATACTTTTAAGGCAAAACTCAAATTTCAAAGAGAATAAACTCGAATTAAAAGAAGTGTAAAATATACCCATTAAGTATTTTAAAAAATGTGAAATCTGACAATTAAAAATTTGATTTGAGACTCTTCTGAATCGAGTAAAAATTTACATAGTATGAGTTTCAATAAAAGATAAGTTCATTTTTACTCAAACTTTAAGTTCGAGTAAGAATTGAAGATGTTATTAGGTATGAACAAACATAAGCAAAACAAGTCAGATGTTGAATCTCATCGATGGAATGGTGAATTGCACAAAGGATAAATAGTCGTTATCAGTTGGGCAAACATTATGTATCATACAACCTGTAATCTTTGAACTATAGCAAGCAAGTCAGATCTACTCTTCTAGGTTACTAAAGGCCTGTAGGCACAATATTGTGAAGAACCAATACATTCTCATGTTGATATTAACAGAGACATAACACAGAAGAGACCAACAGAGGCGCAGAACTAGATCTGCATCAGGGAAGTGTATCCCAGAGCATCAAGATAAGCAGCCATGGCTTTGTTGTTCCAAATTTGTCAGGCTGGATTGCGTGTGCGTGTGCGTGTGTGAGAGAGAGAGGATTCTACCTGAAACTCAGGCGTCATGAAGGGCAATATGATTGAATCATCTCCTTGGATATGGACCCCATCATTCTGGTGGCATAGGTTGTACTGAAGCAGACAATCGTGACAATATTAACCGTTAATTTAAAAAAAAAAAAATCAAGTTTTAGTATGATTTCTGGACTGAGGAGACGAGCGTACTCCTAGTCAGAAAAACAAAATTACTCATTTTTTCAGCTATGAGAAACCACAACATAATGGAAGTTGCATCTGCTTATGCATGCCATTTCAAACAATACAGGTTAAGCTATACAGATAGTTTAAGAGTGCTAGAATTTACATCAGTTATTTTATTCATCTTAGCGTTGAGTTCATTCCAAGATCAAATGAAATGAATTCATTCCTTTTTAATAGAGTGAGAAGGAAAAGAAAATCAGAGAATTAATAAATAGAGGGACGCTGAAAAAAAATTGAATAATACCTGATTCAGAACATGGTAAACGATAAAGTGGTGAGGGCATTTCCTGGCAAAATTATCCAGCTCTTCCTGCAAAGATACAATTCAATTAGGATTTCTTTACATGTTGGTTACCAGTCTAAATCATGAACTTATGATCCTTTTGACACCAGTTTTCAATGTCTATATTATATAGTCACGTCTAATTGTTGCACATCCTTTAAACTCCATCTCATTAAATCTTCCAAACAACATTAAGGGCAAACTTCGCTTTACCTCATTGTTGTTTACTCATTCACATACACGATGGATGATCTATATAGCGATTCTTTGTTTCAGATAAACTAGACACAGCAACACATATCAAGAATCTCAATAACAGTGAAAATTTTGCTATACAAAAATGATGCTGCAAATACAAATGAATATACTCCGCTCCTAAGTGCAACTAAACCATGAAACACAATTTTAAAGGTGTGATCTGAGAAGCTCCTAAATGCACTCACTCACTAAGATGACCACAAACTTAGGACTCAACCGGCAACTATGTTTGGTCCTCGTAGCTGATGAGAAAAACATAGCAATGCCTAATTGCAATCATTATTACAACTACCGAGTACAGTTGAAGGCCCTGTTGCTAATGAGCTTGGTCTTTAGTTCATGATTGCATGAATGCAATAAATTGCTTGATTTACTTTAATCATTTCATAGATATTGTCAATAAATTTATGTATAAGAACAACACATAATCAGAATTACGAATTGACTATAATAAATAAGTGAAAATTGAAGTGGTGTATCTTTTGTCTACATTCAAAAGCATAATCAAAAAGTAGAAGTCTTTCAAAATCATATACCTGGATGGCATGCTGAAAATGGTCCCCAATAAGAATGTTGTATCTAGGTCGACAACTAGCAATTGAATTTGCTCAAGCCTCCATCACCAATAATCTCCACAGCTGCACACACCATCCTTAAAATGATGGAATCTTTTTACATCTCTAACAATGATCTCCCTTTTCATTATTTTAGATATAAACTTAGTTGCATTATGGCAATCCACACAAACCCTCAAGTTCTTCATTATCCTCAACACATCCCCTTCCTTCGTGTTTAAGATACCGAATGCAATTGCTAGTCTTTCACTGTGCCCACATAACATGTCCTCCTTTGATTCCTCATCAACTTTTTGCAATACAGAACTTGTCTCAGCAATGTACCCCTCTTTTATCATCTTCTCTTTTAGCTCCTTCAGAAATTCATATATCTCCGTAGACCTTGGATGTGAGTGATCAAACACAAGAAAACTATGAATTTGCCCTCCAATTTCAATTGAACTCCACCCAGGTGACTTTGCCAATTTTCTCTCTTTCACCAAGTGCCTCATCTTGGCTACCTGGTCCCATTTCCCAGCAGTGGCATAGATATTTGACATGAGCACATACCATCCAGCATTTATGGGTTCCAGTCTCAAAATTTCCTCCACAATTCTTTCAGCCATCTCGACATTTCTATGGATCTTGCATGCATTTAGCAAGCCACCCCATATGCTACAATCAGGCTTTATCACCATTTTCCTCACAAGTTCTTCAGCTTCATCAAGCCTCCCGGCCCTGCCAAGCATGTCCACAATGCAACTATAATGCTCCAAAACCGGCTTTATGTGGTACTCCATAGACATTTTGTTAAAGTACTGCCAACCCTTTTCAACCATTCCCCTGTGGCTAAAACCTGCCAAGATCCCAACAAAAGTCACTGCATCAGGTCTTATTCCAACACCGATCATGCGAAGGAAGAGTGATTCAGCCAAGTGGGCAAGGCCATGCATCCCAGAGCCACATATGATGGCTGTCCAAGTGACAAGATCCCTTTGTGGCATTTGCTCAAAAACTCGTTGAGCCTCATTGATGCTACCACATCTAGCATACATATTTATTAGAGCTGCACCTAAGTAGACATTAATTTCCATCCGGACCCTTACTAGTTGTTCATGTACCCACCTTCCCTGTTGCAAAGCACCCAAAGAAGCACATGCCTGGAGGATACCAACCAGTGTTACTGCATCAGTTGGTAATCCTGAGGCCAGCATATGATTAAATAGGGACAAAGCCTTGTTAAACTCATCATTCAATACATACCTGGAAGGCAGTGATGATTAACACATGTTAGATGAAAGTTACCGATTTACAAAAGGTTTTATATTACAGAAAGTTATTAAAAAAAGATGGGCGCAAGTGCTATATGTAGTATACCATCTTATTTATACAGAAGTTGTACATTGTCCACTGTGTAAGATGCATTGGCGGAATCCAATGTTCCAGGAAAAAGTTGCAGAATCAGTGAAAAGGAAGAAACTTATATAATCCTAGCAGTGATTTTTCTGACTGTCGTTTAACTATATTGGCGTGCCAAAATCAATAACATGACAACTATTCAATTCATTATAACTGCCATAGGATTTTTCTGGCCGACGCCATCTAACTATATATCGAACATAGACTATATTCCATGTAGGACTTTTTATGAAACAATGCAACCCAGGTGATGGATTTCCCTTTCTCCCCTACAACACCAAACCTACTTTCATTCTAAAATAAACAACCACTACCATGACAACAAATATAGCAAAGTAATCGCCACATCTTTCTGCAATGATAACTCCTGTTAAAAAATTATATTTTGTGAAACATTTTCCTAAGCTCATGACGAAATATATGAAAGCAACGTCCAAGAAAATACAATTAGCCAATCTTATATGATTAAAAAAACCATCATTACAACAGACCATGCTTATTAAATCCAACGAAACCAAATCAAAAACTACTAACAACCAATCATACTAACCCGGTAATCATGGCATTATAGCTCGCGGTCCCTCTGTTTTTCAATCCATCAAACACCTTCTCTGCCAACTTCAATTCCCCACTCTTCACATACATGTCAATAAGTGCAGTTGCAACAAACATGTTAGACTCATATCTCCCAGCAACAATATCGCCATGAACTCTCCGCCCATCATGCATTGATTTTAAACCAGCACAAGCCGGCAAAACAAACGTAAACGTGAACTCATTGGACTTATACCCACCATCAACCATACTATAATAAAGATCAATAGCTTCCTTATAAAACCCATTTCTCGCATGCCCTTTAATGGTCTCATTCCAAAGAAAAACAGGCGGGTTTTTCATCATTTTCATGAGAATTATCACAGCAAAGTGAATGTGATCAAGATTGAGGTAAGCGTGGGCTAGACGGGTTAACAAAAAAACGTTGTTAAAGAAGTGAGACTTGAAAATGTTGGCATGAAGTTGACGAAGATCGTTGAAGGAGAGGCATTGTTTGAGGTGGAAGAGAAGATTGTGGAGGCCTTTTGGATTTGGGGGGGTTGGTTTTGTGGGAGTGTATGTAGTTTGAAGTAGCTTGTGTTGAGATGAAGTGTGGAATTTAGAGGATTGGTAGAGCAATGATGTCTTGCAAATTCTTGAGACTCTCATTTAACAACTGCTTAAACACTAGAGTGAACTGAAAATAAACGACAGGTCCTGCTTCTAAGTTGATGAAACTATGGAGTTTGATTCTCCCTGGTGTTTGTTCTAGTTGGCAGTGCATTGTGCTAGCTGCCTGTGCTGCCCCTAAATCTTGGACATTTTGACGCACATTAGAACCCCTTCATGAAATCAAATAGCCGTCCTTTTCCATAATATCAAAAATTAGAAATTGTTCGTGCCTGAAGGAATAACAAAAAAAATTGTCAACCATAAATATATTTATAATTAATCAAAGGAATTAATTAAAAAATCAAAATACATTAATTAACTTATATTCATGCCCAAAACTTGCATCCGTGAGAGAGATGAAGAAACTTGGACACTAAAGTGAGAATGGAACCAACAAGAAAAGTGGGGATTCGAGAGTATGAAAGGAGTTTGAGAGGGTATATAATATAAAATTTGAGGAGTTAATAGAAGCCCAATGAAACTTTTTATAGCAAATAGTAACTCTTATATTTTAAGTGATAATTAAGTGTTTGATTTTTTTTCTTAAATAGACTTGAACCCCTAGTGGGGTATTTACACATCCTTCCTACCTCTAAAATGTTTCTAGGATATTCTCTTTGAAATGCATTGATTAGATAATTTTACATTTTTTCATGTATCGTGTGTTATCAGGGTTTTCATTTGCACATTAATGGCAATTTTTGTTATAGAACTAGAAATTATTGTTGTTAGTCTAGGCTAAAATAGAGGGGCTTGGAATCCATTCCGTATTCCATAAGCTAGGAAGCCGATCCGAAGTTCCCGACGTTACATGAGGAGTTAGAGGGTCTGAAAGAGAATAGACTTCCTATATCTCCTAAGACTGCTAAAAAGAGAATAACAAGCCTCACAACGAGTGCAACTCCTCATCAAGCTGAGTTAAGGAGGGGTTATATTAGGAAGATCTAGTAAATGATGTTAGCTTACATGATCTTCCACTTTTTTCTTTCTTGCTTCCTCTCCATTTGCTTATTGAGTAGGGCTTGCTTTCACTACCTCTTCTAGTCCTAAGCCCTCGGCATTTGAGAGGGCCGAGCCTTCTCATAGTAGGAACTTCCCGAGGGATATTTTAGGGTAACGTACCATAGCGTGTGATGTTTATTTTTGGTTTTCTTTTAAGATGATTCACCGCTAAAATAAGATGATTATTCCCCGCACAATTTAGACAATTCCCCACACAAATTTGATTTCCAAAATTGGTTCTTCTTCTCGTCTTGCTCTTTCCTAAATTTTTTACTTCCTAATCGTATTCAATCCACCTTTTCTTTAAGGCATTTCCTCATAAAATTCTTATTAAGGGAGAGAAGAAAGAAAACATAGAAAGTAAAGAGTGGGATACAAGTCTTTTTTCCTTCATAGATAGAGATCTTCTCGCTCTTCTTTCCTTAGTACTTTCCTAAGTCAGTGTCAGAGTGAATGAGTGAATCTTGATCTGTATTCCTGATCTACGACCACCCTTTCCACTTACTTTGCTAGTTAACTACCATCCATTCCCTTTTGTATTTTTATTCTATAACTATCACTTAATAAATAGAAAAGCGTCTCATTAATTCTATCTTCATATAAACCCATAGGAGCTACAGATGCTAGAGGATAGTCCAAACGAACCACTTCTATTCTCGGAGCTGAGGTATATGAAGAATGGCTTTTTGGTCCCTTTCATCCAGTGGTTAGGACATTGTCTTTTTATGTCAAAGACACGAATTCAATTCCCATAAGGGATAGGTACTCATTCACAGCCACTTTCAGGCAGGATATTTTTGTGCGTGTGCAAACTAGATTAAGGTTTCTCTCCGCTTTTACTTCATAGCATGAAGAGTTATGAAATTCTCCCATGAGGCCATTATATGGTATGGCCGCCATAGATCACATCACTGTAATGCTCAATAAACCTACCATGATCATCAATGGTCATAAAATGGCAATGGAAGTGCCAAAAGCAGTGACAAGATTGACAGTCGAAGTCATAAGGAAAATATCAGTTGGACAGGGCCGGTAAAGCCATTGGCTAACGCCAATGTATTGATGTTCGCCGATCCCGATATTGCTTCATCCAACCCCATTCACTACCCATGATTACTGGGGAATTCACCCTATATAGAGGGAGCAACACGGGGAATGTAGATCTTCATATATCCTTCTAATGTTGCTGTATTTATTTATTAGAGTTGCAGTAATTTTTTCATCTTTATACACTTTGAACCGATCATTACACCGGGGGCAATCACTGCATACAACGTAATGCTACAATCGATGGAATTGAGATTGATTCTATTTAAGTAGTCGGCCACCTGAAGCATTCGGTAAGCGCTTTATGCTATCATAGGCGGGTGCAATCAGTCAATACGTTAAACGATTTTGTCTTTTTTTTTGAAATATATCCCCATTGATGAAGGCTGACAAGTGTATGAATGAAGTCAGGTCGCCACAGCAGTGGTGAAGAAGGTTGACAAGTGTATAAATGAAGTCGAAACAAGAAGTGTTCTTCGGAACTCTTCTCCACCGCTTCGTAGCCGAAGCGGACACACAGAGGTCACTGAAAAGGAGAATGGCAGGAATGATTTCTTACAACGCAACAGAACTCGTCTAATAAGTTCTCATGAAGTCTAAATGGACTTCCTCGTTATGTCTTAATGGTTGAGTGAATTTATGAACAAGCTATAGATAGAACTTGGTGGAGCCTTTGGATAAATAGGTCATAGATGTGTTAATGAGAAAATATATACTTCTAGAATCTTAATGAGAAAATACCCTCTTGGTGATGTTTTTAACTTATATTTCAATTTATCATTGTTTATATAGACGTGTGGTTTGAACTTATTGCTTTCAATGTAAGATCTTGGTTGTAAAACACACGTTATGTCCACCCAATTCAAAATAAAAAATCAAAACTAAAATTCAATTTTGAATGTGAAAATTCCAAAACTGATTCTACCCCGTTCAACCCAATCAACAACCTTTTTGGTCTTGATGATTTACTAAGAAAGAAAACTCAATTTCATGTCAAGAATTTCATAAAGCAACCACTTTATGAAAAGAGAGAGAGGCACAGTTACAGAGAGAGAAGAAGAGAAACCTGGTGGCAGTCGGTGAGGAGGGCAGAGGCGATTGCTGATGGCAGCCGGGGGCATCGTCGCTGATTGCGTCGCTGCCCGAAGAGAAGAGGGGTGAGACGGTGAGAGTGAGGATACGTACGAAACACAAGTCAGAGAGGGAGGGCGGATTAGGATACCGAAAATATAGGGCTGTTAAACGATCGAGCGGCTGACGGCTTGATTTTGGTTCGATTGGGGTTCGTTGATTTTATAAAATAAGCCGAATTTATACAAAAAAATTGAGCTCGTTTTTAAAATAGCAGAGTCCGAGCCAGAGCCAACTCGTTTATCCTTTTATATGTTTTTACATTTTTACCACTGAACAAGACAAAAGAATTTAAGAGTTTTAAAAATCTATATAATAAAATAACTTATAATTCAAATATTAAAAAATAAACAAAATAATTTTTGCTATTCGTAGTTGAAATCGTTTTAAATTTTACTTTAAAGTTAATCTAATGACTAATATTAACACCCTAAATTTAATAGGAAAAATTAACTCCTAAAGGTGTGTTTGGAGTAACTTTTTAAAAGTACTTATAAAAATTATTTCTTATAAATATTTTTTTTAAGATAGTGTTTTGAAACCGTCTCACCACCGTCATCACTGCCACCACAACCGTCGTTGTCACCCCCACCTCACCACCACTTCTGTCGCCGCCACCACCCCCACCATTGCCATTTATTACAACTATCACCATCTCCTATCACCACCACCACTGTCGCCCACCACCTCTCACTCCCACTACAAATCGATGATTAAATTATTTTTATTTTTTCCTTATGTTTGTAATTTGATTTTGAATATGAATAGAAATATATTTATTGTTTACTATTTTTTATTATTTTGTGTCTTCAGGTACATGCAACAACTAATATTTTTATAAAAATGTTTAAAAGCATATTAAAATCTTATCTAAATCCTAATACTATCGCATCAGCCAACCACTTAGGATGTGTTTGATAACTTTAACTTAAGTTTTAATATAACTCATTTATTCACTTGTTTATTTATTAGTAGACGGTTACACCACGTGATATCATTGACGTGATATAATGGTTACACTTAATATTTTTTTCGCTCAGATACTCACCCATGTGAAAATCTACCCTCCCCCCCTTCTCTTTTTCTCTCTCTCTCTATCTATTTGTCCCATCCTTATAAAGTGAATACCTGCCCCAACCCCAACTATCCCCCACCTCAACCATCCCACCACCCCCCTTAACCTTTCGTTGCTTACCGTCTTCTTGTCGGTAGTCAGTCTGTTCGACTCTGTCTCTCTCTCAAACGACTCTCTTTTCTTACATTGTTTCTTCATTCATCCTTTGTACCCGTATACCCTTCTTTATCAACTATGTTGCAACCTTCGGTGTCTCCAAATTTTACTCAATTAGTACCAAAGATGAAGCTACCATGATTCATGAGACCATGGAATACTTAATAAAAGGTTGTGTTGTGAATTTTTTATATTAATCTAATCTAAAACCTAAGAATCTGAACTTGGCATTCGGGATTTATGTTTGTGAATTTGAGATTTTTAATTTACAATGTGGATTTGAGATTGATTTTGAATGTTTGGTTTGGGCTCAAGCTCGAGTTTGTGTCAAGCCAAGCAGTTTGAACAAAATTCTAGGCTCAGTGTTTGAATTCGAGTCAAGCCTGAACAAACCCCCAACTAATCGATCGAACTTGAGCATATCGAAACTTGGAAGACTCAACTCAATTAACACCCCTACGAATAGTAGAGAGAGATGAGTGAGGTAGGAGGATCTAAAAATATGAGATATAAGGAAATAAGAGATATGATATATCAGAAATTGCATAATTTAAGGAGTTAGAATTTTTTGAGCGAGATAAAATTCGTTTGGGCGGGAAAATAAATTTGGAGTGCTAATTTTTTTCAATCGGATGAATTATGTATATTTATTTATCAATCTTAGATGTTCAAACGATTTTATAAGTTGAGATTCAAAAACCTTTATACTTTATTATATAGATGTTCGGGAAGAACTATGATAGAACATATTCAACTTTAACTCAAATTTATTACTCAAAGTTAAGTTATTATTAGTAAAAACTTGATTTGATACAAATGACTCTAATGTAAAAAACTCAAATTTAAAGAAAGACGAAATGTAATCATTAAATCTTTAAAAAAAATAAAATCTGTCCGTTTGCGTTTTGAGTAAAAGTTTGAATCTCCCTTTATTCAAGTAAAAAAATGCGTCTCTCGTGATTTAATATAGGTATGGGTCTAATTATGTATCGCTATTGTACTGAAAAATATTTTTTAAGCTTTCCAATTATTTATAACCACATATTGTGGAAATTCATTGTGTTTCCTAAAAAAAAATTACTTTAATAATTGGTGTTACATATGAGCAATGAATTAATCCATCCTAAAGTCAAGATCCACATCACAACCGACAACTTTAGTTGGCTTGCAAGTTGATTTATAGTGAATTAATCCATCCTGAAGTTGATATATATTTTAGGTCGGTACTTGTTCATTTTCTCATTTGGATAGAGACCTATACCTTATTCTATACATAAAATCTATTCTCAGCATCCTAGTCTTATCCGTCCATTATAAAAGCATGAAATGAACCTATCTGAAGATTTAAATACATATTTAACATGAAGATTTGCAAACTGTAACCAAAGAAAGTTGCTTCGAAAACTCCCTTAGGAGAGAGACAGAGACAGAGACAGGAGGCTCAGACATTTAACCTAAGCCAAGAGTTCTAGCCATCTTTAAAAATAGAAAGCATAAATAGATGACCAATAGCCCTCCACCTAAAACCCTATCAAGCTTCATTTTCCTCATGGGTAGGATAACAAGGGCCCATACCAAGCCACCTAACAGGAACGCCAGAGTTTCATAGACAAACGGATCTTTATCTATGATGTAACAAGATGGGTATTCAGTCCAGGCCGAGAATGAGAGTGACAAACCCAATCCGACAGCTATGTTGAAAATAGGACCTGCATAGCACCCAGAAATCGCAATCTGGGTCCCGGCTGGCCCGCCATTTTTCGCCATCGTCACATTAGCAACCAAGTCCCCAAGAGAATTCCCCCAAGCTAAGACAGTAAGCCCCAGGACGGACGCGTTTACACCTAATATAAGACCAAGTGAAACCAATAGAGCAACCATTTCTTGGGCTAAAGTATAAGTCCATATGATACTCATCAGAAACCCTCCTACAAGCCAAGGGTACAAACACTTCCTTGGTGGGTTAGACTTTTCAGTGGTGAAATATACCACCACCCCAGAGATGACTCCGATTGAACCACCAATTGCATGTATCATAAAGCTTAATTTTGGACCATCATAGTTCCAAATGAAGGCCAACAGAACAGGAGCAAATATAGCTGACAGAACTGCAAATGGCTTAGACCATCTCTCCTCAGAAACTACAGGTATAGTTAACCTTCTTGGCAAATCGAGAGGTAGCTCTAGAACATATATAAATTTCCCAAAGCAAGTTGCTAAAGATTGAAGGTTATAACACCTTGCTCTGTTTTTTCCTTCAGCTAATTGAAGCTCTTTGCAAGGAGGAGTAAGACCGCATACATTTGATTCTCTCCCAACCTCGTTGTGGCAGGAGCCTCGTGCACTAAGTTGACCTTCTTGAAGCTCTGAAACAAACCTGTCATCAACAATACATCCCAACAAAGGTGCCCCCAACTCTGATGATCCTTCTAACTTGTCTACAATCCTACTACTTACAGGCAATATTGAAGAATCATCAGTGGCTTCCACTTCTGTGTCTTCCTTTTTACACATCTGTGATGCAGAAACTAAGGCTACATATATGAAGTACAGAGAGAGAAAAGAGAAAGCACCCCACAAATTGATCTTCCCAAAAACTATAATCAAAAGTAGACAAGAGAGAGAAAGAAGGAAGAAGAGAAGATCCCTCATGAAACTGAACCTACTAATTGACAAACCACCATTACTGACAGCAATACTTATGATTCCAACCACTGTGGTAGATACAAAGAATGAACCACCTAGAATGCTATTGAGACCAACATCTTTTGTCCCATCACCCATGAAAGAGACTATACTCGAGAAAATATCTGGTGCACCATTTCCTAGAGAGAGAAGAGTGGCTCCAGCTATGGTTGGTGAGAGCTTCAAAACCTTTGACAGACCCTCCAATGAAGGACAAAAGTAATTGGAAGATGTGTCACCCAGTAAGTAGAATAGAATTACAAGCCAAAGGGTAAGAACAGTGTAGCCAATAAGTGGGTTAAAAGTGCAGTAAAAGAGCAGGAGATAGGATATGTATCCTCCTGATTGACATTTCCTGTGAGTTTTCACATATGAGCATTTCTCTTGGGGATCATCTAAGGAGTGAAGCTCTTTGCACCCAATATCAGGGTCTAGGATCTGGTGAGAACTGATTGTGAAGTTTGATTTTGTGACTTGGAAATGGTTGAGAAAATCAGAATTGGAGGAATAGAGATGGGCTGTGAGGAAGAAGATGAGGAAGAGAAAGCAGAAATTGAGAAAGAGATTGAGACATTTGGCTTTGTGCATGGAAAGCAACTCTGCCATCTAGCAATAACTCAGGGAGAAAGACACAGAGAGAGAGAGAGAGAGAGAGAAGGGGGGGGGTGTTATTCAGAAGAGAATCAGTATATGGTTGGATGGGTAGAATAATCAAATGCTTGTTTACAGATGGCATAAGGATGTGAGTTGCACGGAGTAAGGATGATAGAAACTGTGTAGTGTTGAAGAGATTAGCATCTCTTCTGTTCAAAAAAAAAAAAAAAAAGAGATTGATATCTCTTGACTAGTAGTCTAGGCTCGCCCACAATCTTAAATTAATAAGAAGATCCTCCAACAACTGAACGTAGGTCCAAGTCTGCAAATTAAGTTTATTTTGAAATTCCATCTGTTTTTTTCGATGGGATAAGTTATGTGAAAATGAGAAATCCTCGCCATTCACAATAAATTGGAGCATCCTTAAATTATTCGGAAATTGGAGGAGAGTCGAGCCCGATATCTTAGTATAAATAAAGAGTTAACTATCATATTTGGCCCATGAACTATACCATTTGTATCAATGAATCCCTTGAACTACGTTTTGTATCAATTTAACCCATAAATTATAACATTTGTGTCAATGTAGTCTTTCCATCCAAATTTGCTGTTAAGTTTGATTGGATTCTTCACATGCACAACACGTGACCCCTAAACTATGCTCTAATCCCTGGCTCATATGATGCGCACGTGAGGTATTCAATTAAATTTAACCGTGAATTTGGACAGAATGGTCACAGTGACACAAATGGTATAGTTCAGGAGAAGCATAATTCTTGAAGCAAATAAATAAATAGTTAACTCATAAATAAAGAGTGCCACTCATTTATATATGAGGACAGTTTACTGAAGATAGGAGATAAATATCTAGAGTTGACACACCTGATATGTAAATAGAACTGAAGGGATGTCATTCATGTACAAAAGACAGTTTTGATGGTTGTGAAATTACTGCTAAGTTTGTCATACCGAGCATGGCACCTTCAGTTTAGGTAGTGTTTTCCGTTTTCAAGATAGCACTCTCCCCGGTTGGGATCTGTTTGTGGGATATAGATATAGTAATGCCACTGCCGTGATCGAATGACCCTAGTTGTGCCTCAATACTAAAATGTGTGTGCGTGTGCCTGTGTGTGTGTGAGAGAGAGAGAGAGAGAGGGGGGTTAGTTTTCTAGAAGAAATCAAATATACATGGGAAAAGTTATATTTAGAGCCCTCAAGCTCAGATTACAGAGGCATTTTCATAATTTCTGAAATTATAGTGTCTCATCCTAATTTCTCGAAAAATGCTTGTTTTCTCCTTGGAAGGATGCACCACCAGCTGAAGCAAATGCCAAAATTATACGCTTTTCTTTCTTCCTTTTTTTTCTTCTTTATTTATTATTATTATTTTTTTGTGGTTGTTTTGGTTCGCCCCAACGAAAAATAGCTTGACAAATTTGTAATAACTAGGTTTGACGACTTTGTGTACAAATCCGCCAAAATTATACCAAGAATTTTTTTGAGTATGTCGACCATTTGAATGCCAAAATAAGAGAACAAGTGCGAAATTGGAAGTAAACATTTCATCAACTTTTTTTAGGAGACAAAATCGGATAGTGGATGCAGTTTAATTTCAAATACTATGAGGGTGCATCCCATAATTTGAGTGAATCTTTAGGGACGTGAGTGCAAATTCTATGTATGATTCCAAACTTTCGAATGGGGAATAAGCGCAAACGACTTTTTGGCCAACAGACAAGATTGATATTGTTTTTTCTTTTGTTTTTTTGGTACAGAGGAAAAGTAAGAGGAGTTAACTATGCCCCTAGTAAAAGAAATACAAGAAAGGTCATTCAAAAGGTAATTTCTCAACACGGGGGTTGGGATTTTAAAAAATACAAAAAAAATCTTGTTGTTGCCCACCTAGGCTTGCCATCTTGTTAGCGCAGAAGTTTCCTTCTCTCAGTGTTTGAATGATGAGAGTATTAGTCGGTCCCATTAAGTTCTTACAATTAACAATGATGTTCTTTTTAAGATGGAGGTCCTCTAACCTAATAGTGATTAGGTGGAGAACTTTCAAAGAGTGGGTCTCCAAGATGACCTTCTTGAACTTTTGTGTATGAATGATCTTGAGATCTTAAACAATAGCCCACAATTCAGCTCGTAAGCTGGTAGAGTCTTTTATCTGACAAGAATGATATTGGAGTTGGTTTTATCTTGTTTTAATCTTTTAATATTAATCAATTATAATTTTATTTATTTAATTAAATAATAAAGTAGTTTAAACATTAACCCGACTTATTTATTAGTTATATATGGTCAAATTTACTAGCATAATACATAAATAACAAATCAAGGATGAGAACTAATTTCTATGGCAACTAAACCTATCACACAAATACCATTAACTCAAACTTCAATTATCCACATGCCATAAAGAAATAGTCTAAATATATAATAATCATTTATCCAGCACTTTATCAAAATAAAAAATTATTAATTTTTTATATGATGGAAATTAAACAAGTTCGTCATGTAGAAAATAGAATTCTTTGTACTTAAGTTTGTTACTTACTTTACCCATTTGTTTATTATCTGAGTAAGCAAGTCGTGTTATTTTTTAACACGTGTCAAAAACTAATAATTGTAATTCACGAAATTGATATCAGCCTCACGATGCGTTAACGTGCGTGATGCTAGTAGATTATGATACATGTCCCTGTCTGGTTATTTGATTTTTTTGATTGAATGTGAACGCAAAGTGGCTTCAACAACCTTTACCAACTCATAGCCATTATGTCTTGTACGACTTGTCCCTTCCTCGATTACTCTATGTTAGTACTAGTAATTTCTTATTTAAGTTTGTTAAGACCTGTTCTGGATACAAAACTGTCCTACTGATTTGGTCACATTCACACTGAGATATTTAAAACATGAAGAAGACTATGACACAACCGAATAAACATTAAACAATGCTAGGGATTTCATATTTAAGATTCTAAATTGTATCTTAAATCAATATAGATTTGTAGACCAATGAGTTCCGTTAATTTTTTGAATTAATAGTATTTTTTATTCTTAATATATGTGTTTTTTATCAATTTAATCTTCAATGTATCAATTTTGTTAATTAAAATCCTTAAAGTATTCAATTCGTATCATTTTGATCCTCATACAGGTAGACCGTTAAGTTTTTTTGATAGAACAATCACGTGTTGGGCACGTGATATCGTCTAAAAAATGATACATGACTACTTTCATCAAAAAATTTAACGATCCGTATATGTGGAAACAAAAATGACATGAAATGAATACTTTACGGACCGAATTAATAAATTGAGGACTAAACTGATAAAAAATACATACTTTTAATTTTTTTGACTCATCTAATGGTCTATACTCATTTGAGATACAATTTGAGATTCAAAGTATTTTTCAAAAATAATTTTGATACCATACCATCAAGTTTTAATTAGGCATCGATGATATGTAATGTGACCAATCAATAATAAAAGATCATGCAAGATTAATAAACTCTATTGACCTAATTTGTTGGCTCTTACATATGTTGAATTGATAATTGTTGATATATAATAACACATAACACTTAATGAGTTTTCGATATAACAATTGAAGAACTCAAACATAAACCGGATTGTTACTTCTAGTTACGAGCCCGATGATCCCGAACCCGAACTTCTCCAATCTTCCTTTCTCAATTGAATCTTGAAAAAGCAGCTATTAGAGACCCTTCTTGGATTTTCACCCTCACAAATTCAAGGGTGTACCCAAAGAAAATACAAATAGAGAGTATTTGAAGAGAGAAAGTGTGTATGTGACAAAAGAAAATTGCCAAAAAACTCTTCTAGTCCAATAAATATGAAAAATTATTCACTAATGAGGTGGTAATTTGATTTAGTTGACTTGTAATTCAATATTTGAGTAGAAGTATTCAGAATTTGATTTAAATTAGATCAAATTGGATGTCAACTGTCAAGTTGATCCAATCAAACCCGAAATAAAATCTAAATCCCAACCTATTAAACACACCAATCTACGTTCTTTTTTTATGCTTTCCAACTTTTCTCTCTCTTCCATTTCCTCCAAGTCCTTTTTCTGCCTCCCTTTTCCTCTCTCACAGGCCACCCAATCTATTTTCTTCCCAAGAGACCCAAGTAAATTTGGCCAGGAAGGTTACGCCAAAAAGTTTGGCACCTCCCCTTCTTCCTTTATCTTCTCCCCTTGTCTAATTTTTTGGTTGAATTCGGTTGATTTATGGCCGATTCTACTCTATCTTCGATGTTGTCGTCAATATGATGGTGGGTTTACAGAGGCAGGTGCTAGTGGACTAAAGAAAGGGCGAAGACGAACTGACGCTGTCAAAGATATGTTTTGATGGTCTAAAAATTATATTAACCCACCCTTTATCCGATCAGAATTTCAGTGGAGGGCAAGATTCCAGAAATTTCAAAATTTTACTTAAGTCTCAAAATTTTTTAAAATTCCAGAATGCCCCAAGTGTAAATCAACCCCTACATGTGTAACGATAAGAGTACTTTATTAAGTTAACACTAAATTAATAGAGTGGGTCACTCATAAGCATCTTGAAGTACTCCAGATAATTTGATTACACTTGATTTAGCACTCCTAATCCTTCAAAACAAATAATGCTAAACAAATACGACAAAGTCGTCCGGGTAACTGGGGCGGCTCAATATCGAATAGAATGGGGGCACGTGCCGCCACTGAATTTTTATGATCTTTTTATATATACAACAGCAAATAAGCATCCTTCTCTTCAATTTAGCACATTGACCCCCCTTATTTTTGAAAATTAATTTAATAGTCCTTGTTCCTTTTCATTTTAGTAAATCAGAAGCCCACTGGCCTTCCTAATCCAATAAACCAAATATTTTATATTCAGATATGTGAAATGTTCTATCCAAATTTTATATACTAACTCAATTTAATGCCCCCTTTTATTTAATAGATTGGACCCAACCTTTTTTTTTTTTTGGGACAAGTTAATAGCTAGCAATTCACTAAGACGCGATTAGATGTAAATGATAAAATATCTCA